AGGGGCAAGGTTGTCCTCAGTAGTCTTGTTGGGGGTGCCAAAAATGAATCGAGTTTTCAGGTATTAAATGAAATGTTACTTATTTGGGACTTTTCCAAACTGTTGGAAGTTAAGCCTGTGAATACAACTTAAATGTTTCTTTGGGATTGAGAACCTGTTCAAGAGTGACTGGTTGATAACTGGTTAGAATTGGGTTATGTCCTATGAATGAGGAATCAATCTGTAGAAATAAATATTTGATTATAAGCCATGGTGTTGTATTCACCTCACCTCATCTGGCTGTGCAGAAAGGATCATTAGAATAAGTATCATTTTAATATTAACATCATTCATGTCAAAGGTACTAATAGTGTTGCTGTGTTGCAGCTGAGTTGTATGCAATATGGAGCAGCAGCGCATCAGTACAATGTTCTTTAATTCAGTGTGAGGCAGCACGGAGAAAAAGGCTCCTTGTCTCTGCTGCAAGATGAATTCATATCATGTCTAGACAGCACAGTTAGGAACAGATTAAAGTTATGAGATGAAATCATTGAATCTTGCTGAAGCTAATCAGCATTATTAGTAACTTTAGCCAGTTTCCAGTAAAATGGGTAATATAAATCCAAAGAAACAAAAATATGTGCTGATTGACATATCATCTGTGAATATTTTTTTATGTAAGATTAATTAATATGGAAGAGAAGTATTTTATAGCAATAATACAAATTTTGGACTAGTAGGTTCTTTTATTCAAGGCGGATCAGGCAGCAGTTTTGAGAAGATTCTTTTGCAACAACTGTATTATAGTGGATTAAAAAACAGTCACTGAAAATGAAAATAAGTTTTCACCTGATTTTCTTATTGTTCATTAAAATATATATATATATGGGTATTCTATTTTCTACAATATACACTTACTTGGAAATGAGTAATATAAGCAATACTGATGTTTTATTTAGGTGGCCATAAATAGCTTAGGAATTAGGAAATGAAAACAATTGTTCAAGAGTGGCTAATGTGTACTAAGATAATATTCTTAACTTTTATGCTTTTCTCCCTTCTCCCCCACTAGTGATGCTAGAGTTCAGGTTTTCAGTGTATCAGTGTCTACATCTTCTGGTTAAAACAAATGTAAACACTGTGTTGCATAGAACTTGGAAAATTGCACTAATTTTTAAACTTTTGGGTTTATTTTTTTCTTTGGAAAGAATTCTTTTATATTCACATAAAGATTTTTAAAATCAATTCTCTGGTGTCTTTATTGCAAGCAGTGTATATAATGGTCCCTAGCTGCTGTTAACCATGATGTATCCATAGTTTTGGGCAGCATATGAACTGGGTCTGCTTGTTGATAGAATTGCACTGTCTGAAATGTCATGTTACAGGATCTGTAACATGTATGTGTAACCCTTTGTATGTTTTGCCGTAACAACAAATCAGTTGTACTGCCTTCCCCTCCTCTCTTCAGTTCATTCCTACATACAGTTCTGCTCAGTTAGGCTCTCTGCCTACTCTCCCCAGCCCTAGCTGAGAGGACACAGAGGACAGGTATATGCTTCTAAATCACCCCACTTGTTCTTATCTGGAAAAGAAAACTGACTACTCCCTTCAGTCTGCTTTGCAGGCTATTTATGTGCCCAGTTCTTATCCTTGTTGACAGCTTTCCTGTTCCCTGAGCACTAACCTTAACCCAGAAGTGAGGTTGGGAATGAGAGCAGGCAGCCATTCAGCCCTCCAGGCTGAAGATCAGCAGGAAGAAGGTGTCGCAAGTGTCCTTCAGGGCCTGGTTTCAGACCTGCTTTTAGGACAGGTTTTCCCTCTCTCTGAACCATAATTGATGGCTTGACTATCCTGGCAATGTTAAGTATTGATTTTTATTGCCTTGGGCTGCTACCCCTGTGAGGATGGGGAGCTGTGTGGTACCTCGATGTGGAAGGGCAGAAGGGTCCCAGTGACTGTGAAGTGTCCAGATACAGAAGAACCATTTTTCCTTCTTTCTGAGGCTGGATGTAAAAGTGTTCTCAGACACCAAAGAATGAAAACTGCAGGTGTGGGTTTGAGGGAGGAGGGAAGGGAAAAGACTCAGCTGTGCAGGAAGCCTGTGCTGAGCTGCAGGATGTTTTCAGCCCATGTGTGAGCAGTCATGGGACACACTGTCAGCTACCACTGCCTTCCTGAGCACAGGGTTAAGTGAGGGGTGGTGTGTGCAGGGGGAATCTCATTCCCAAGTGCTTGGTCATGGGAAGCTCTGTTCAAATGCAGACCCTGGCTTTTCTGGTAATCATGGCTGCCCCATCCCTGGCAGTGTTCAAGGCCACATTGGACACAGGGGCTTGGAGCAAGCTGCTCTAGTGGAAGGTGTCCCTGCCCGTGGCAGGGGGTTGGGACTGGATGAGCTTTAAGGTCCCTTCCAACCCAAACCAGTCTGTGCTTCTGGTAGCTCCTTACAAGCCAAGCAGGTTTGTATGTTTAAGCAAGGGCTGTCCGTGGCGGAGCACAGTGCAAGGAAAGGGAGGAGGTGAGGTCCTCCAGAACCATGGAGATGGTTCTGTGGAGAACATAAAATACTCACGGAGCCCCTGTGCAAAACAGCCCTGTGAAATGTGCTCATTGCACAGAGCACTGCTACCCCAGCCGAGGCCCACGGAGGAGGGGGAGGAAGCTTTTGGGTGTAGCAGCAGCCTGGGAAAGGAAATGGGAGTCTCAGCCAACAGATGACACCTGCAGACTGGAAGTGCTGTGGGAGCAACGCTGCGCACAACAAACTTGTCACTGCACCCCTCTCTTTCAGTCGATTCCAGGCATGCAGCCCACTTCCAGCCTTCCCCTTCTGCTCCTTCCAAGGAAGGAAAAGAAAGAACATAAGGTCTAGAAAGTCAAATGAACTTCCTTGTTTTTACTGTGAAGGGAAGATGTGGGAGAGCCTTGCCAGGAGCAAGTTGGTTGCAGAGTGAGAAAGGGTAGAGAGAGCCTAGGTTAGGGAAGTCTCATCCCACTTGTATTGAGAACCTGGTCAAGTCTCCTGCATTTTGTAAATAGGTTGGTTTGGTTCCCACCACGTCTTCTCCCATCTCCACCTTATGGATCTGTAAAACAGGAGCCTCAAGTGCCAGAAACAGCATCTTAATCCAACCTCTTATTTCCACCTGGCTCTGCCTGCGACAGAAAATCAGAGGAGGGGGAAGAGCCTCCCCTCCAAGCCCGGTGCGAGAAGGAGCTGTGCCAGAAGCTGTGTTCACCTCCTATAACTCTAGCTTTATGTTATACAGCTGTGCTTGGCCCCAGTGTGCAGCAGTGGGGCCCAAGGGTGATCCCAGCCTTCCCTGCTTCCTCCCCTCTGTGCTTGGAGGAGAAGAAAATGCAAGTTAAAATAAAAGGATTTAAAACCTACCTTGGTGTTCATGCTTGCATGAAAAAGGATGCCTTTAATTCCTGCAGATGATGACTTAATTTTCCTAAGTGACAGTGGGGAAAAATTTGCTTCCTATAGGAACACATGCAAAACTGGAAATGAACAGGAAAAGACTGCTTTCCCTGCTCTTCCTCAGCAGGTGGAAGTGAGCTGGAGGTGTTTAGTGGTGCTTGTTGAGCCGGTGCCTTCCCACCTTGTGGGCTCTGTCCTGTTCCCAGGAGCTGCAGCTTTCACTCAGAGGCCTTGCCAGGGTCCCATGGTGTGACTGTTACTGAGTCCATGCCTTTACTGGTGTTAACCATTGGTTGTCGATCTTAGAACTGTTTCACCTTACACAAACTCTCAAGACTGGTTTGTGTTGGAAGGGACCTTAAAGCTCACCCAGTTCCAACCCCTGCCACAGGCAGGGACACCTTCCACTAGAGCAGCTTGCTCCAAGCCCCTGTGTCCAACCTGGCCTTGAGCACTGCCAGGGATGGGGCAGCCACAGCTTCTCTGGGCACCCCATGCCAGCACCTCAGCACCCTCACAGGGAAGAGCTTCCTTGTATCTAATTTAAATCTTCCCCTCTTAATTTAAATCCATTCCTTGTCTATCACTACATGCACTTATAAAAGCCCCTCTTCAGCTTTCTTTGTAGCCCCTTTGGGCACTGGAAGCTTCTCTAAGGTCTCCCCTGAGCCTTCTCCAGGCTGAGCAAGTTCAGCTTTTTCAGCCTGTCTCCATAGAAGAGGTGCATTTGATCATAATTTAAAATAATAGGAAGTATTTACTGATATTTTCCAAGGGTCCCTTTTATTCATAGAACCATAGAATAGTTAGGGTTGGAAAGGACCTTAAGATCATCCAGTTCCAACCCCCCTGCCACGGGCAGGGACACCTCACACTAAACCATCTCACCCGAGGCTCTGTCCAACCTGGCCTTGAACACTGCCAGGGATGGAGCATTCACAACCTCCCTGGGCAACCCATTCCAGTGCCTCACCACCCTCACAGGAAAGAATTTCCTCCTTAGATCCAATCTAAATCTCCCCTGTTTAAGTTTGACCCTGTTACCCCTTGTCCTGTCACTACAGTCCCTAATTCATTAGCAGCCATTTATCATGTGTTGCTGGGCAGGTAAATGGGGAGGGTTTAGTTTATTCTAAGAGACAGGACCCGCAACTTCTATAGCAAGAAGTACAGATGTTTCATAGAGGTATCTGTCAGTAGAGAGCCCTCCCTGTGGGTGTTGCATGTGTAATTGCTGCCACAGGCTTTAATAGTTTCCCTGCTCATCCATTTGTACTGTCAGGGTCATTTGTTTTCAGTACTTCTGTAAGAATTGCCTTTGCTGTTACAGTGGCAACCTCTCTGCTGACAGAGCAATGCTGCACCGATGGGGATTTGGTGCTGTGCTGCTGCCTCTGCCCGGATGGGCTCGCAGTCCCCCTGCCATCCCCTGCCCCGAAAGCTGGGGCATGGCCAAAGGCTACAGCCAACGTTGGTCTGCCCGTTGCAGAATGCTTCATGACAGAAATGTTTTGGTGAGGATTTATTGATGTGTGAGATGTTACAGAGTGACTTTTGGTTTAAATTGGTTACCTGTCAGTGATAACAAAACAAGGAATCTTGGCAATCAATACGTGTACTAGTGTTATCAAGCGAGGGTGGTTCTGCTCTTCCATGGTACACAGCCACAGCCTGAACACTGCAACCTCTGAAGTGTTGCCCGTTTTCTTGCTGCTCTGAAGCACGGCCATCCATCATAAAATGAGCAAAGCCCCAAGCCCCCCATTCCTTTGCAGTGCCATAGGGAAGTGCCCTGGCAGATCCCAGGCTGATCACCTGCCTCATGTGACGCAGGGTGCGAGGTCCACTTGTAAAAGAACTGATTTTGCAATTGCTTTAAGGGAAACAAACAGGAACCGGGCAGTTGTTGCCACCACGCAGGGGAGCTGCTGAGGGCTCATCGCTGCCTGCTAAAGGCTTTTCCCTGTGTGGATGGCAGCCAAGGCTTCCCTACCGAGGCACGGCACAGATCTTGTAGGGCTGCGGGGCCACTGCGATGCCCAGCTGGAACTCGAGGCTGAGCGTGGTGTCCGGGGGTGCCTGGAAAGTGAATTTCTGGAGCAGAGACGTGAAGAAAAGGAAGAGCTCGGAGCGGGCCAGCACCTCACCCAGGCAGGAACGCTTCCCTGCGGAGACAGCCACCAATGGCATCATAGAATCATAGAATCATGGGTTGGAAGAGACATTCAAAGGTCATCTAGTCCAACCCACCTGTGTTGGCTGATGAAAAAGCTTCTGTGTCCATTGGGACCATAGTCCAGCTGTGTTACCTGCTTCCCAGGATGAGTTTTGCAGCCCAACCTGAGCACCCCAATAATGGTGCTGGTGTTAGGGCATGGGCTTCCTCCCTGGATTGCATAACTTTGTGAGGGCACATGTGTGTAACTGACTATGCACTGTATCCTCCCCTGCTTGGATAAGCTCTGCTGACACGTATGGTCTGCATATGTCCATGCTGGGAGAAGTGGCTTATATGAGCTACACCAAAGAGAGCTATCAAAGAAGGTGTGTGATGCTGGGATGGAAAACAGGGATGATAAAAGCATTGTCTATGGGGAAGCTCTTGCTTGGAGTACCCTGTGGAGCCCTAGTGAACCCACATGGGAGGTGGAACACAGGACCATGCTCTTCCCTTTCTTATTTCTGGGATCTCTGGCATTTTTATGGTCTTTTATTCATCCTCATCTCAGTGCATGTGAAGAGGGACAGGAAAGGGCTCAGTGTAGTCATGGTGCTTTGGGGTGGCCACATCAGCACTGCTTCTGTGGCACCACCTCCCAGTGTGCAGCCAGTGTCTGCTCTTTCCATTGCTATTTTCTTCCGTGTCTCTACTGTGCAGTTGGAAGCCCCATCCCACCGCCTCAGCACAGAAGCATCACAATCCAACAGATCTTACCTATAGAAAATGGTATAAAATGCTCGTTTTTGTAGAATTGACCACCCTTCAGGAAATGCCCAGGGTTAAAAGCGTCAGGGGTTTCCCACACGTTCTTGTCAAACAACACAGAGGTTAAACTCGTCGTCATAATAGTGCCCTAGGAGGAGAAAAACAAATTGCACTTTTCCTGTTGCTGACAGCAGGAGGGGCATTTTTATCTTCCAGTCTCCTCTCCATGAAGAACAACCACAGTCAAATCATGCTGCAATTACTTGTCCAACACCACCCTGCATGGCCAATTTCCTACTTCTAACCTGTTCAGAGGTACAATGATTATATATCCTCAGTTTCCCCTCATCAGCTTCATTTTTATCCACTGTAGTGATGGGTCAAAGTTCTTGTAATAGCTCTGAGATGGAACCTGTGCCTCGATAGCGTGCATGGAGAGAGTGTCACCACACAGCGCAACACTGCTCCTGAGTGCTGGGACTTCAGCAATTCCCAGCTCCCCGGGCATGAATCCCTAGGCCATGTAGGGCAGAGCCACAGCATCTCTGCCCTGTCCAGAGTTCTCTCCTAGTGAACATCTGCTTTTGCCATCCAAGCAGTGTTGCTTACTGAAGTCTCAGCACTCAGAAGCAGGGTTACCTTTGGTATGAAGAAGCCGTCCACAAACGTGTCCTTTATCGTCATCCTTGGCACATTGAATGGGATGATGTTGCCTTTCCTCTGCACTTCGTGGATGACGGCGTTGGTGTAGGGCATGCTGTCTCTGTCTTGCAGGGCTGGCTGCCGTGCCTGCCCGATGACCGCGTCGATCTCAGCTTGCACACGGGCTGGTGGGAAAGAGCAGGGATCAGTCAAGGTACAAGGAGGTTGCTGTGAGGGTCCCCCAGGGACCAATCTGCTGCTGTTTGCACCTCTTTTAGGTGAGTGCAGGGAGGCTCCCAGTTTTTCCCCTCAAAAAAGAGAGTTTCTCATGAAGGTGTCAGCATAAATGCAAGGGAAAACACTGAGCTTTTGCTAATTGTACCTTGAATTTCTGGATATTTGGCCATAAAGAGCAGAGCCCAGCGGATGGTTGTGGAAGTGGTCTCGGTCCCAGCCAACAGCAGGTCCAGTGTGCAGGCCACGAGGTTTTCCTCTTGTAAGCTGCCGCTGGCATTGTTCTGCACAAAAAGGTGAGATGGGTTTATACTTACTTATATAGGGGAAGTTCAGGTAGAATACAAGGAAGAAGTTCTTCACTGTGAGGGTGGTGAGGCACTGGAATGGGTTGTGCAGGGAGGTTGTGAATGCTCCATCCCTGGCAGTGTTCAAGGCCAGGTTGGACAGAGCCTTGGGCAACATGGTCTAGTGTGAAGTGTCCCTGCCCATGGCAGGGGGGTTGGAACTGGATATCTTACGGTCCTTTCTAGCCCAAACCCTTCTATGACTTCTCATCCCTCCTTATTTCTAAGCCCAATTGCAGAAGGGCTTACTCCACATTGCTGACCTTGGCCATCTCTGTCAGGTAGCTGTCAATGAAGTCCCAGCTCTCCGAGGGGTTCCAGTCCTCCTTGTGCTTGTCGATTTTCTCTTGCACAAAGCTTTTCATACACTTCCAGTTTTTAAAAATGGTTTGGTGGGATCCAGGCAAGTACTTTATTATAGATGGGAAAGAGTTGTACAGCTTTGGACACAAAAGGAGAAAGGCAAATTTAATAAAGGACTGACAAAAAACCCTTTCTGTTATCAAAACTTGAGGAGCCTTCAAGCTTAAAAATTACTAGAGTTGGTGGAAATAGCTAGGCTCCAGAAGGGCTTTACAAGGGATTGGTGTGCCTATTACAGAGTGACTTGTGCATTACCCGGTGTTACAGCAGGCAGGTTGGCAGTTGATGGGCAGGATGTGGGGTGAAAGAGAGCAACATGAACATGCACAGCTTGAAAAGAAGGCAGGAGGAAATTACAGGCAAATCTAATCCCATGCAAAAGAATAAGGAATGGCAACAACATTTGGTGATGCAAATGATACAGGTTTAGAGGCTGACTCCAGAGAAGAAACTACGGCCCTGCAGAACTGCACGCCACCCATGCTGGTGGCAGGAGGGCTGTACCTGGCTCATGACAGACCCATGGAGAACAAATGTCTCGTTCAACAGCTCCAGCAGTTTTTGGAACTTCTCATCGTGGTAGTCAAACCGATCGCCAAAGATGACAGAGCAGATGACATTTGAAACAGCGTTAGTGACTTTATATTGAGGGTTGAAAGGATTCCCTGGAGAAGGAAAAGGGAATGATCGATTCACGTCCAGGCTTCACAGAAAAGAAGAAAATACAGCTGTCAGAGGTAAAATGTTCAATAAATATGAGTGAAATGAGTGGCTGTTGTGGCTTTAACCCCAGGACAGTGGAACCTTGATGGGCATCATCCTGTGTCACTGCTCTCCTGGCCTTGCCCTCTCCATGAGCTGGTCAAGCTCGGCTGGGTAACCAGAGTGGTCCCAGTTCAATCAGATAGTGAAGATGTTTGTTCAGCGTGCAAAGCAGAGCAGACGTCATTTGAATTCGTTGGGAATATTGGTGTTTACACACATGGGATTTTCCAGGGATCTCAGGAGAGCAGCAGGTTGAAGGTGGGCTTTGAATAACACTTGGGGTGTTACCTGGCTGTGTTCACCAGTCAGTTTGAAGGCAAAGCACCTGCAACAGCGAGCTGGCATGCTGGCAGGGTGCTAGCATCGCGTGCAAGGGAAGGTATATTTCAGCATACAGTGAATCATAGATGATACCTGCCTTCAGCACAGCATATGAGGGCCACGGCACTCACCCTGTTCTTCCCCAAATGCTTCCACAAGGTATCGGCACTCCTCCTGGATGCGCTCTTCCAGGCCCCTCTTCCCGAAGCCAAAGTTTCGGAGCGTGGTCAAGGTGAATCTCCTCTGCTGCTTCCACAAGAGCCCGTTGGAGGAGATCAGTCCTGGCAGGAACACCCCACCATGAGCCAAAGCAAGGCAGATCCCTCCACCGTGGGGAAAAAGCTTCAGGGCTCTCCCTTATCTCAGCCGTCTTGGACCTCTGCAGGACCAGTGCTTTCACCTGAGGGATAACTCACCCAAGCTGCTGAAGATCTCCTTGTCAATAGGAATTTCGGGGCGATCCATGAAGTTTTCCGCTTGGTTTACAAGAACTTCCTTAATCATCCGCAGCCCACTTACACACACAAACGGTACATGTCCCATATACATGCTGAAGATGTCCCCGTATTTTTCATGAAGCTGGGAAGGGGTGGGAAATAAAGAAAAGGGGTTTCATTTGCAGTGGATGTGTCTGTTGGGACAGGGACAGCCCTGGCAGAGGACACGGGTGAGACTAAGGGAAGCTGGGAGTGGGAGGGGAGACGGGATGTTTGCACAAGTGTCTGCTTGCGTGCGTGTTGTCTCCTCTTATTTCCTCTTATCCCAAGTCACTGATCAGGTGTTGGTGTTAACTGGCCATAAATCAAGTGAAACTCGACAGGTTTGATTTTTCAGTCCTGTGTATTTCTCGCTTTTCTTTCACTCCCTTCCCAAACACTCTTCCAATCCCTGCTCAGACCTGTGGAGCTACTACTGCCGCGACTGCACCCATGGTATAGTGTCGTGCCCTTTGCCCAAAGGATCACTCTGCACTTGCCCCCCTCCTCATATGAAGGCAAACTTCATACACGTTGCTGCTGACTGAGGGCAAACCTCCTGCCTGCCCTGGGCTTTGCTTCTCTGAGTCCTCATGGTCTGTGGGGCTTTGGTTAACCCTTCCCCACACCACAAAGGTTGCATAGCTCCAGTCCTCCCCATTCCCTTCCCCAAGGTGCCCACGTCCTTTGTACCTTGTTCACCACGGCTTGGGGATTTCTGAAGTCCATCAGGTAGATGTGCCCCAGAAAGGGTAAGGAGAAGGGGCCGGGAGGGAAGTGCTTTGGCTTTCTGCGCTTCATGTAGTCGGCGACGAGGAGAAAGACAAATAAGAAGACGAAGATCACCTGGAAGGAGATGCTGTCCCACAGGAAGCGCAGCATGGTTGGATGGTGGGGTCAGGGCAGGTCGAGCTCAGGGGGCACCACTGAACCCCCAGGGACAGGGGGAGATGGTCAAGATGCTGGCACAGCTGTGGGAACACACACGAGACAGCATGGAACAGCTTTCCCTGACCTGGCTTTGGAGGCTTCGTTCGGACTCCTGCTTTCCCAGGTTTCATTTGATCAACTCCCTTCTTGATTAAACTCAGGCATTTCCTCTGAGCTCATTAAAAACAAAAAATCACACACCAAAACACCCCAAAGCTCCCCCTTTCCCCTCTGGCCTCCCACCGCTGCATTACAAAACACCAGTGATCCACGTCCTTGTCTAAAGGACAGAAACAAGCTTTGCGGGGCCAGGATTAAGACCTTCTGGCAGCCTCCCCATGCCCATGGCTTGGTGCAAGCCCTGCTCTCCCCTTCCCATGGTGCTCTCACCGTGCTGTGTCCTGGTGTCAGCTTCCCGGTGCTGGGGAGGCTCCAGCCGCTCCGAGCACCTTGTGCTTCTGTTGTTTGCGGAAGCCCTGCCACTGGTAGGAACAGTGGCAGACCGAACCCTAGGGCAGCAGGGACACCCGAGATAAGGTTGCACAATCCTTTCACAAGCCACCATCTGACTCACGGGCTGGGGTTTCAGTGCGTCAGGGTGATGTGGGCTGAAAGCCAGCACCCATCCGGGATCTGCAGTGGTTTCTAAGCACTGTGACTGTCTGATCTCTGATAAGCAAATGCAAGCAGAACAACTTTCTCTGGCCATAAAGGTGGCCTACACTGAGCCCTCCAGCCACCCCTTCTCACCTGCCTCTGAGTCTATAGCCCGTGCTGGAGCTGCTGAAAGCCCAACAAAGCTAAGGCAGGAGCTGGGAAGCTAAAGCAGACGCTGTGGTCCTTTGGGTAAGCTGGTAACAGGCTGTGTTAATTTTCCCTTCTGAGAGTGGCTCTGGGACAGGTAGTCGATCTTGCACATACTCCACACTGAATTTTGATGTATGTGTGGTGTTTTATTGTGAAAGAAGCAGGGGTGTTTGTCAATTTAAAGCCATTCCCTTGTCCTGTCCCTACAGGCCCTTGTCCAAAGCCCCTCTCCAGGTTTCCTGTAGCCCCTTTAGGCACTGGAGCTGCTCTAAGGTCTCCCCTTAAGGAGCCTTCTCTTCTCCAGGCTGAATCAGCCCAACTCACTGTTTTATTGTGGAACTGAAAGGCAAACCCCCCGTTTTTTTCTCTTTTTACTTCTGGCTTTTAAGCACACTTAGGCTTGAAATGAGGCATGTGTTCCCCTTCCCTCACGTGAGATATTCCACTCAAAAGGGTAAAAACAAATCCATGTCTCCTGCCTTTATGTGATCATTACATTGAAAAATGGCAGGGAGGGAAGGGTGGTTTTTTTCCCAATAGATTTCAGAGAAAAAGAAGAAAAAGAACCCTTCAATCATTTACTCCCCCCATGAGTAGGGAAGGAAGCCCTAAAGTGACAGAGAAAAGCATTTTATAATGGGACGAGATCAACATTTATTTGCTAAGCCAGTGAAAGTAATACAAGCTGTAGTGTCAAACAAACCAAAGGTCAGACCTATGCCAGAGTGGAGAGAAACCAGCGCCTGGTCCTGACTGGCTTTGAAAACCTCACAGGTGAAAAAAGCCACCGATCTTTTCTGTTTTCTCTTTTAGACAGGAAAACCCCAGCCACCGGAGCCTGTAACTGCGAACCATCCATTCAAACTGCAGCAGGTCTAACCCTTAGATAGCGACCAGTTAGAAGGGCAGCAACTCATTGACAAACCCTCGAGTGTCCGGCGTGGTGAGGATGTGATGTGATGTGCAAAGGACTCTCCCATGCGGCGTAAATCCGCCACTGCACAGGGATTGCTTTGCAGCGCAGCAAAGGCGGTTATTGCCAGAGATGGAGGCTGGAGCCGGCGGAAACGGAACTGTATTTAATTCTCTTTTCCTGTGAACTATTCCGAATCCTACGTGGGTGCCCAGAGAAAAGTCACTTCTTATGAAAGGTGAGGAGGAAAGAGGAAAAAAGCAATCTTTGCTATGCCTATATTCCAAACAAAAGCACACAGGGAACTGCATTTCTAAGCCTTAATGCTTGGTCGCATAAATGGAAACAAAATCTCTTCGACTTGCCTTTTTAATTAACTAACTCGTGCTCATTTAATCAGCTTTTAATTAATTAAAAGCCGTGGACCCAACTGTGCCCATGGTTTTGCAGCTGGCAGACACCTTCCTGGAAGTTGCTAATGGCTGAAATTAAGTAATAAGGCTTTTAAATTCAAGCACTTTGTCAAACTGACAGAGGGAAGAGCCGCAAGGGTTGTCCTCATTGCAGTGTGCAGGATGTGTAGATGCACATCCCTGGAGACACTGGAGGCCAGGCTGGACGTGGTTCTGGGCAACCTGATGTAGCTGATGTCCTTGCTCATTGCAGGGGGGTTGGACTAGATGACCTTTGAAGATCCCTTCCAGCCTAAATTCTGATTCTGTGTGTCCCTCCTGTCCTGCCCACCGCCACCCACATATTAGTGTGCGCTTGATATCCGTGGCCCATCATTCCAGCCCCAAATCTATGGGGCTGATAGCGACACTTTGGGAAGCAGGGAGGGTCGGGGCAGCCCCAGGCTGGCCTCAATCACGCGGCAGTGCACAGATCTGGAAGGGCTTGGGGCAGCGTGTGAGGCTGAGTGTGAAGGCGAAGGTCAGCATGGCAGCCTCTGGCGCCTGGAAGGTGAACTTCTGCAGGAGGGCTGTGAAGAAGATGAAGAGCTCGGTCCTGGCGAGCTGCTCCCCGGGACAAGCCCGCTTACCTGGAAAAGGAGCCGGAATAACCCCCCACTGAGTCTCGAGCGAGCTCCAAGCACCTCTCGGGCGCCTCTCGCATGCGCTGCTTTGGGCAGGCTGCGGGAGCTTTTCTTCCTCGAAAGGTTAGGTGGCAATGTTCACCCACACATCCTTGCAGAAACCCTCCCCGCAAGTTTACTGCCGAGCTCGGAGAGACCGAGAGGGGGAACGCAGCGCAAGAAAACAACCTCCCCGCAGCTTGCGCAAGAGGAAAAAGCCTTGTTTTATCAGCCCGCAACACCAAATTGATTCCCCTCCCGCTCCGAGCAGGCAGTGTGAGCTGTGACTCGGGATTTTCACTGCGGGGATGGGCTGGAAGCTGGACAAGGAGCAGTGCCCCCTACTCTGGAGGAGGTGTCTTGAGGGGGTGGAAAAAGCATTGCAACAGGAAAAACCACCTCCCCATCCATCATCCTACCTGCAGAGAAGGGCAGAAAAGCCTCCCGCCTCCTGTACTGGCCGTTATCCAGGAAATGTTCAGGATTAAAGGTGTCTGGAGTCTCCCACACGTTTTTGTCGAACATTATCGAAGTCAGGCTGGTCATCACGGTGGTGCCCTGTGAGAGGTGGAGAAATCAGGCGATTACATGACAGAGAGCAGCCGACGTGTTGTCAGACTAGTTTATTATTAGCTCCATTCCACATACAATACCAACTACATCTTTTTTAAAGGCCAAAACGTGTTTTTTTCCTGAGCTGTGTAATTAAACGAGGGTGAAAGCCTACAGGATTGTTCACTTCTGTGCGCCTCTATGTGTCACCAGAGTGTTGATCCTTGCCTCGTGCTGCTGTAACTGGGGATGTTGATATAAACCAGCTTCAAATTGGTGACACCGTGTTCCCATTGGAATTTGGAACAATTTAACCAGCTAATTTTCAATCGATCTGCTTTCTTGTTCTTTTATTCTAAACCTCATCTGGTTAATCTCCACATCTTCCATCAGAAAAAGAGATATTCTAGTAAGTGTGGAGCAAAATGAACAGATTTATTACTTTTAATTTTCTTTGATGCAACCAGTCATATACACGGAAGAGAACAGTTATATCTAAATCTTATCTTTGCTTTCACAGTTACAGAACAGTGTGTACTCATCAATACCATTACCTGGCTTTTATCAAGTGATACTGTTAATAGATGATTTTTAGTACTCTGTGAAATTAACAAACATGAATTGCTTTCATGTGTCTTTTGGCCCTCTATTTTGATGACGTGTGGAGGGCATCTTTTGTAAAATTTAAGGCATAAACCTTTTACATTTGAAATCTATGACTATAGAATCATAGAATAGTTAGGGTTGGAAAGGACCTGAAAATCATCAAGTTCCAACCCCGCTGCCATGGGCAGGGACACCTCCATGCCAACACCACAATATCTCACAATTCTCCATAAGGATGTGTGACCCATAACAGCCATGCAGCATTCATCATGGGCTCACAGAATTAGGGCTGGAAAGGACCTCAAAGTTCATTCGTTCCAACCCCCTGCCAGGGCAGAGACACCTTCCACGAGGGCAGGTTGCTCTAAGCCCCTGTGTCCAGCCTGGCCTTGAGCACTGCCACAGCCATAGCTTCCTTGGGCAGCCTGTGCCAGCGCCTCACCACCCTCATGATAAAGAATTTCTTCCGAATATCTAACCTAAATCTCCCCTATTTAAGTTTGAACCTATTATGCCTTGTCCTGTCACTACAGTCCCAGGTGAAGGGTCCCTCTCCAGCATCCTTGTAGGCCCCCTTCCCATACTGGAAGCAGCTCTGAGGTCTGGATGCAGCTTCTCTTCTCCAGGCTGAACAGCCCCAGCTTTCTGAGCCTGTCTTCAGATAAGAGCTTGTATTTTCTATATAAGTGTGATATTTCCATAAGATCCTGTGGGTTGGCTCCCTTCCAGGTGAGATCTGGGAACTGAGCCATGAAGACCCTGCTGTGGTGGGATGAGGGGAAGGCTGGTGGCCTCCACGTACTTTGGGCAGGTGAAAGCCAGCCAGGGTGGTGTCACTGGTGGACATCCTGGGCACCCCCAGGGGTACCACGTTGCTCATCCTCAGGACCTCACTCAGCACCGCGCTGGTGTAGGGCATGTTCTCCTTGTCAGCCATCGTGGGTTGGCGGGATTGGCCGATCACCATGTCGATTTCAAGTTGCACTTTCTCTAAGGAAAGCAAAGCAATATCTGTGTTCTAAAGGTTTCCAATAAGAAGCCTGGGGCACAGGCACGTCCAGCATGTGGCAGAGCTGGAAATAACTCTGAGTTTCACTTATCTAGTTTTGGACCAAACGAAGGACCCATCCACAGCCCTACCCTGAATGTGGGGGTACGTGGCCATGTAGAGCAGAGCCCAGCGGATGGCGGTTGCCGTTGTCTCAGTCCCGGTTAAGAAGAGGTCCAGGGTGGAGCACAGCAGGTTTTCCTCATGGAAATATGAGCCGGTGTCACCCTTAGACTTGGGGAAAAAACATAACAATGAGAACTCTTATTAAGGAGAGGATGGTCTCAAAAACCCAACCCCAAACCACCTGTATGTAACTCAAATCCTGCTTCCAGTTTATTACCCACCAACCCTGCTGTGGTTGACCCATCTGGTAAGTCATCACCGTGCAGCTGTTTGCTCACTTCTCCCCTTCCCTTTCTCCCCCAGGGCAGGATGGGCAGGACAGTCGGAAGAATGTAA